AGCAGGAATATCTGGACACCTTCAGGATCTGGTCACAATATTTTTATGCCCTATCTTTGGTATCTGGTCACCCTGACCAGCTTGCCACAGGGTGCTTCATCCAGGCTTCCCAAGACATGCCTCCTCTTAGCAATTTTCCATCCACTGATGCCCTGCCATAAACCTCCACTCGACCTTAGTGTATTTGAAATGGAGCCCAGGGATGCTGTAGTGGTTAAGGCACTGGATCCTCCATGGTTGACCCCGCAGTTCAAGTCCACGACTCAGCAGCTTGAAAATCACACTGGGCACGTGAGCGTGCAAGCCTGAAAATCCAAGATGACAATAGGAGAAGGAATTGTGGTGTGGCCATCCCTCCTAGGGGGTCCTCTCTCTCTCTTTGCCCTAGAGCAAAACTTTAAAAAAATAAAACAAAATAGAGAGCCCAGTTCGATGCTGAGGTCTCTCTTCTGGTGTCTCAGTAGTCCTAAGTAATACTCCCCTTTACCACTCTACCTTCTGTCCCGCTCTGGTTTGGACAGGGGAAGCACCTAGGCATTAATATGTTTTAAAGCTTCCAGATGATTCCAATGTGTAGTTAGGACTGAGACCCACCAACATAGTGTGGTTGTGTGTGTAGAGTTAGATTCTCCCCTAGGTCTTGTTCCCCTAAGTAGGCATTGACACCCATAGGTGGCCTCTGGCATTCTAGGTAGAGGCTAACCTCCAGCGTGGAGGGTCACACTGTTATCCATACCATGGCCTCCCTGGAGCTAGCTACATAATGAAAAGGCAAAATTCGATTTTCATTGATGGGATTAGTGAGTCATTAACAAACATGAGGATGGTGTCCGTTGAAACTGGTGATATTTAAGATTTGAAAATTGGGTAAAATACTTCAGAAGCACTCACCCTGCTTCCACAAAAAGAAAGAACTCAGTGAAGCCTCCTGGGCCGGGGGCCAGAGAATCCTTTCTATTAAGTTCCAGATACTAAATATTTTAGATTTTGCGAAAGGGGAGCCAAATTAAACCCTAACTGTCCCACTGAGACCCGTCGAGCACCATGCTGCAGAGGGCAACAAGAGCCCCACACGGGGTCCCCTCCTCAGCTGCTCGCTGCAGCCCCGTCCACCATTACAGCTCTGTCAGAGCGCCAGAGCAACCAGACGATACGTAGACGTGTGAGCATGGTGTGTGGGTTTACTTCATTTTAAAAAATGCATTGGTTGCAAATTGAAATATTTTGCATGTCCTAGATTAGCTTAAATACGCTATTAAAACTAATTTCCCGTCTCCTATTACTTCCCTACCCTTAGCAATGGCTGCCATTTCTCAGGGCCTTGCTAAGTGTCGGCGACTGCACTGAACGCGTTACATCTCTTATCTCATGAATCCCCAAGAATGAGTTTAGCTGGTCTAAAGCATTCGGGTGCACTCTTAGTTTTGCTGGGTGACATTTTCTGGAATTCCACATGTATCACTGCCAATAAAATATTGCTTAGTGCTAAATAGGTTAATTTTTAAGTCAAACAATGAGTAGGCTATGGCTCTGCCCTCTCGTCCATTTTTTCCCACTTAGAGACTTTTGCCATAGAGTGCATATACTCACCAGAGAGAGAGACAGAGAATGAGAGGGAAAGTGAGAAATCGCTCCCGGGCGGTGGGGGGAGGTTGTGTGGCCAAGTCATAATCCCTTCTCCATTCTCCTCCCAGGATCTTGGGCACACATACACACATGCCCGGCATGAGTTTCAAGCCTCCGAGTCTGGGACTTGAACCATGGTTGATCATATGGGAGTTCATAGGCATTGACACCCATAGGTGGCCTCTGGCATTCTAGGTAGAGGCTAACCTCCAGCGTGGAGGGTCACACTGTTATCCATACCATGGCCTCCCTGGAGCTAGCTACATAATGAAAAGGCAAAATTCGATTTTCATTGATGGGATTAGTGAGTCATTAACAAACATGAGGATGGTGTCCGTTGAAACTGGTGATATTTAAGATTTGAAAATTGGGTAAAATACTTCAGAAGCACTCACCCTGCTTCCACAAAAAGAAAGAACTCAGTGAAGCCTCCTGGGCCGGGGGCCAGAGAATCCTTTCTATTAAGTTCCAGATACTAAATATTTTAGATTTTGCGAGGGGGGAGCCAAATTAAACCCTAACTGTCCCACTGAGACCCGTCGAGCACCATGCTGCAGAGGGCAACAAGAGCCCCACACGGGGTCCCCTCCTCAGCTGCTCGCTGCAGCCCCGTCCACCATTACAGCTCTGTCAGAGCGCCAGAGCAACCAGACGATACGTAGACGTGTGAGCATGGTGTGTGGGTTTACTTCATTTTAAAAAATGCATTGGTTGCAAATTGAAATATTTTGCATGTCCTAGATTAGCTTAAATACGCTATTAAAACTAATTTCCCGTCTCCTATTACTTCCCTACCCTTAGCAATGGCTGCCATTTCTCAGGGCCTTGCTAAGTGTCGGCGACTGCACTGAACGCGTTACATCTCTTATCTCATGAATCCCCAAGAATGAGTTTAGCTGGTCTAAAGCATTCGGGTGCACTCTTAGTTTTGCTGGGTGACATTTTCTGGAATTCCACATGTATCACTGCCAATAAAATATTGCTTAGTGCTAAATAGGTTAATTTTTAAGTCAAACAATGAGTAGGCTATGGCTCTGCCCTCTCGTCCATTTTTTCCCACTTAGAGACTTTTGCCATAGAGTGCATATACTCACCAGAGAGAGAGACAGAGAATGAGAGGGAAAGTGAGAAATCGCTCCCGGGCGGTGGGGGGAGGTTGTGTGGCCAAGTCATAATCCCTTCTCCATTCTCCTCCCAGGATCTTGGGCACACATACACACATGCCCGGCATGAGTTTCAAGCCTCCGAGTCTGGGACTTGAACCATGGTTGATCATATGGGAGTTCAACATAACCACTATGCCATCTGCTGGCCCTCACTCTTCATTTTACGGCTCTACAGGGTATAGCCTGTCTTTACTGAGCACATGTATGCTAGTCATGAATAACTAGACCTCCAGACAGTGTTTGGGAAGAGATGCTAATATAATTCATGCTTCACAGATGCCAGAGTGCAAGAACAGGGTCCTTCGGAAACCAGCTGGAGTGACACATTAGGAAACGGGGCCAAGACCTGACCCCAGATAGTCCCAGCTCCTCACACTGCTTGCTTGAATCCCACACTCAACAGCGTCCTAGCCAATGACTCTGGCCAGGCTGCCAAGCTGCACCGTGGTGGGGCAAGATGCTGACTTTGGAGAGACGCCAAAAGATGCTTCTCCCAGTATAGCATATCCAGCCTGGCATGGCCTCGGGCTGGGCTCACAGCCATGGTCCATTCCCAGCAGGCTGCTGGCCTAACAGATGTGACCTGGGTGCCTCTGAGAGGGTACAGTCACAGGAAATGCCCTAGCTGCAGGACCCTGGAGGGCCTAACTGTTGGGACGCCTCACACAGCCCTTACAGTTTTGAAGATTTTTTCCAAGGTGTCTTTACCTCCTTGATTACTGACATTGCTTTAAAAAATAAGTTTCTCTTTACTGTGGTTTCTGACTGGCATGCTTAGTTAGTTTCACTTTCTCATAGACTTAAAACTCCGCCCTCTGACCAGATTGTCAGTGCCCTCGCAGCAACGGGGCCGGGCCGGCTTGGAGCATTCCGAGCTGGACAAGACCATGGCTGCAGAGATGCAGGCGCTGGGGGGCCCCAGCCCTGGGCAGACCTGCGTGCTGATCCTGATCTTCACGGTGCTCCTGCAGACCCTGTGCGTGACTGTCACTTACATGTACTTCACCAACGAGCTGAAGCAGGTCAGTGCAGCGCGCTGGAAGGCTCTCAGCCACTGTCGGGCTACCTGCCTCTCAGGTTGCTCTTTCTTAAGGACTTTCGTGGGAGAAAATACTCCATCTGTCCCCGAATGTCACTGCTAATGCATACAGTGCCTGAGGATCTCGCTAAAGCCTAAGTTCAAGGGATGGTGTGAACAAAGTGCCAGTGCAGGACTGGCCTGAGTAGTTATTACCAGGTGCAGGCAACAAAGCTGGGGATTTTTATTGTACTTTGTAATATTAGTGATCGCTGTCATTCACGAGTGCTTTCTGCTAAATGCTTTATAGTTCTCTAGCCTGCGAATTCTTGGAGGTAAGTGTGGCTGACTCAGGGTAGGGGCTGTCTGCTCTTGTCACCAACACAGCTCTGGGTCCTAGCACAGGGCCCCCAGATAGGTGTTCACTAGATTAAATAAATGAACGCCCTTCGCAAGTTGCAGGTCTCACTCGTAGGGGCGAAGGGCTGAAACCTTTCCTCACTCTTGGAAGAGGCATGGTCAGCACTCCTGGAATAGGCTACTAGAAGAAAAGCATAACAAATGTATTTAATCCAAGTTTCATGAGACTGAGAGCCTTTAGAAATAAAGACCCAGGGAAAACTATGTTTATGCTTAAGTTCTATGAAGAATAGACAGTAGTAATGCCAGACTGAAGATTTGATCGAAGGCGGACAGATTGGTGGCAGGAGGGAAACAGCGAGTCCTGCCTGAGGGTCTTCAGAGAGAAAAAGTGAGAGTGACCTTTCAGTCTTATGGCTTGCTTTGGGGGAGGTGTTCTGGTTCTTATGAGGAAGAGGAAGAGGAGGAAAATTAGTGACTGTGATTTGCTTTTGGGGACAGGAAACAAAAAGACAGGAGAAAGTCAGAAAGACCTTGCTTCCAAGGCTATCTAATGCCCTTCAGTTTAAAGCACGCATGCCAAAGTGCGTATTGTGGCATGCTGTGTTCTGAGCCCCAACACCCTAATACACACAGGCAGCAAGTGTGGAATTAGAGCTGGTCACAAAGCCAGGCTCTAAACCCACCAACAGTTACTGTGCTCCAGATGTAGCTAATCCTAGCAGACTCTCCGAGAGACATCGAAAAGATCCAGACTCAGGACCTACACAGACAGAAATGCTTTCTCTGCACTGTTTGCTTATCCTCAGGCTCCCTCCAGCACATTTCTTTTAAATATTTTAAATTGTTGGGTGGAAAGCCTTCATATAAGCAAGTCAGACTTTCAAAGGTTAAAATTAAAACCAGAATGCAGGCTTAGGATATCAGGTTTCACTTTCCTCCAAGACTGAGCCAGGGTGGAGGGAAATCTTTGCAATGTGTTTGGTTTTCTCTCTGTGGCATTCCTATGCTGACGGTGAAAAGAATACAAAGTACTGTCCCCCTATTTCTGTACACAGGCATGTCAACAAGAATTTACCAAATAAATTCAGTATTTTAGTGTTCATGAGAAAATCACTGAAAATAAAACTATCTTTCTCTGTACTTGCAGATGGTCCAAGTGTGAATTCAGGCATGTTCAATAGGAAAAATAAAAGACACTTTGCACCATTTAAACTTTAGTTTTGCAACGAAGACTTCTGAAACCATGAGTGCAAAATTGCTCAAAACAAACCAACTCTTGTTTTGGGCCTTTATTGTGTATTTTGACCAATTATGTATCACAGAGAATTATGAGCTGGAAGAACTTTGGAAATCCCACCTCCTCTTTATAGGTCAGGAGACTAGGAACGGCTGGTTTGAGCTCAGATACAGCTTTGGAAACAGGTGGGGGAGGCACCCAGGTCTGCAGGCGGCCAAGCAATGCCTTCCCTCCAGAGCAGGGAACTGGAGGGTCAACGGGTTTGCACTTGACGCACACCACATCCCACAGCATCAGCTATGCCAGCTGACTACGCAACGCAAGGCTGAGAGTCTCAGAAAATATAAATTGCACAAGTGCCATAGAGCGTTAATGTTCTGTTAGGGAAATGCAGTTTGTATATTCTGTACTTATCTCAATCGGTTGGAAATCTTTCCTTTTGAAAATGGATAAAGTAGAGTCTTCTTTTTGTGGTTTTGGCCATAGGGTGTATGCACTCACAGGAGACAGAGGAAAAGTGAGAAATCACTCCCCAGGGGAATGGCCATGCTGCAATTCCTTCTCCACCATTCTCCTCTTGGGATTTTGGGCATGCAAATACACGTGCCCAACATGATTTCCAAATCTCCAGGTTCTGGTCTTGAACACAGAGCTAGTCACATGGGATCCAGTGCCTTAGCCACCATGCCACTAGCTATCCCTACACTTTTGTTTTATTTGTAAGTAACTATGAATATTACCATAAGGTAGCTTTGTTGTAGAGCATAGTTAGAAGGTCCTGGTTATTTATAAAGGAAAAAAAATCAGTATAACTATAATCACACCTCCAGTTCTAAGTTTACACACAAGCCTGAAATACAGGTGAGCAAGCCCTAACCGTCGCTAAGTTTGCAGCATAAAGAGGCCGTTTCTCCATACAGAGGTAGGGCTGCCAATGTGCACACACTGCAAAGGTGGTCTCATTTTGGATTTTTCTTTATTGGTGGTAGAGTGCTTGTGTGCACATTTGAAAGTGAGTGAAGGAAAATGACTACCTCCCACAGGGTCTGATCACACTGCAATTCCCCCCTGCCAGCCCTCCAGCCCACTGGGTCTTGTAGAGTGCTTGTGTGCACATTTGAAAGTGAGTGAAGGAAAATGACCACCTCCCACAGGGTCTGATCACACTGCAATTCCCCCCTGCCAGCCCTCCAGCCCACTGGGTCTTGGGCAGTTGTGTGAATTCCCAGTGTCTCAGGCTGACCTGGCTGGGGATCCCAGCCACAGTCACCACGTGAAATCTGAATTCTCTTTAACACACATTGGTACACCACAGAGCTAGGCCAAGGTGGCCTAATTTTAAAACTGAGCTAACTGGTTTTTTACTGACTCATGCAACTATATGTGCATATAATCAAATTTCCCTTTTAATTTCTTCTATAAAAATGAAAATTTCAAATGAAGGTGAGCATCTCCCCACTGGCGCTCCCATTTCTTGATTATATATTTAGATGTATCTAAGCGTGAATATACAGGTTGAGAAATTCACTAAGAGTGCTCAAAAGGGAGAATTTGCAGGTGTAAAGCCATGGCTGATGTAGCAGAAACTTTAACAGTATTACCCACTTTCACCCTAGGAAGGATCCTAGACAGCAAATGTAATCACCCATTTTATAGAGGAAGAAACTGAGGCTAAGGGAAAAGTAATCTGTCCCAATTACAAAGGTAGTAAAAAGTCAAGTCCAGTTTTGAACTCAGACACTAACTAGGTGCTCAAGGAATTGTGGACATTGTAACGCTATGGAAAGGGCTCTCAGAGTTGTTACTCTCCCTTAGGGTGACTCATGAAGAGGGTAAGACTGTACCCTTGGGCATTGGTGTAGAGTTTGTAAGATAAGTTTTCATCTCCTAAAGCTCATCACAGGCTCCACTTTGGTGGACACTGCAGCCGTCGCTAAGTTGTATGACAAAGGCATGACCTGTCATTGTGGCATCAGGGATAGGGACCCAGAAAGGAGGAAAGGGTCCTTCTCCACACCTCTCCATAGCCCTTTGTGCTCCTCACGGTTTACAGAAAACAATTGCCAGAGACTAGTGTCTGGACGTACCAGGGGCCAGTGCTACCATTCAAAGTCTCTGAAGCAGCCAAGTTCACTTCCTGACCTCAAGCCCAGCCAAGGACTGGTTGGCCCTGGCCTGGATGATAGCCATGTTTTTTTGTTTGTTTGGGTTTTTTTGAGAGATTTTTGCTATAGAGCGTATGCGCTTGCCAGACAGACAGAGAGAGACATAGAGACAGAAAGCGAGAAATCACCCCCCAGGGGGGATGGCCACACCTCAATCCCTTCTCCTCCATTCTCCTCTCGGGATCTTGGGCATGCACACACACGTGCCTGGCGTGAGTTTTAAGCCACCGGGTCCGGGACACGAACTGCAGTCGACTACGTGGGAGTCCAGTGACATAGCCATTATGCTTACTGCTGGTTCCCTATAGTCATGTTTTGATGGCACCGTGGAGATGCACTTCTAAGAACCACAGGCTCTGGGGCTGATGGACAGGCATCCAGTGCAAGAGCTCTCTCTCCTTCTAGAGCTGAACAAGAGCAGTGCGTGCAGCAACAGCCCACCCCAGCACCAGGTGTGGGTAGCTGGAGGACAGTACCAGCTTGTGACATGCTGCGGGAAATTCGAGGTACAAAGGATGTGGGGGAAAGTGTGGGAAGAAGGTGTGTCATATTATTCATTCTTGGAATAACCACAGCACGCCAGCCACGATGAGTCTAGCCACCAATATTAGTCAAGGTTTGTAGAGGAAGCTACCAGATAAGATAACGCGAGAAACATAGGAGGTAGGACGGGTGGCTGGGACTGTCTGAGTCCCTGCCATTCAGAAGTCAGTACCTATGCATAAAGATGTCTGAAAAAAAACGCAAGATGATCATTCTAACCTCTAGGTAGTAGAATGGTGGGTGTCGTTTCTCCCCTTTGTTTTATGAGTTTTCTACAATGAATGTCATAAAAATATCTGTCTAACTATGATTTTTCTACAGATTTTAAGAACACTTACCTTGCTGCTACCACTCCACTCCCACCCCCTTCAAACTCCACCTGGGTTCTCATCATTGTCTGAGCTCTGGCCCTCTCAACTCTGCTCTGGGCGCCCACGCCCAGCCTCCCATGAGATCAGCTCTGTTGAAATAGCCTCCAGCAGCTGTAAAAGGAGGAAAACGGCCCCTCCCTCCTTTGTACACATGCCTTTCTGTCCCAACAGGTTAAGAGAAGTTCAAGAGCCAGCTTGCTCAGTTTAGCCAAGCCAATGCCTGGCCACCGCGCACTCTGGCTTGCTAGGAGGCATCCCCTCCTGGCGCCTGCTCTCCTTGGAGGCACCCTCGGGCTTAATACTGATTCTGGCTCTTCCTCTCTTCATCCCTGATTCTCCCTCATCCTTTGCTAACATGACCGCCTCTCACTAGTTCCCTCCTTGGAAAGGTTTTACAGCTCCCAAGTATACTGGAAACAGAGCTAAATGTCTACATGCAAGGGGATGTAGCCGAGTTCTACTGCCAATCATGCCTCGATTCAGGTGGCCCCAGCTGTCACCCTCAACTGCACATCCTAGGAGAAGGTTCTCCTCTCATAATTTAAAAAAGGAATATTTATTTACATTAAGGGACCAGCAGGTGGAATGGTGGTAAAGGTGCTGGACTCTCATCTGGCCAAGCGTGGTTCAAGTCCTGGACCTGGTGACTTGAAATCACACTGGGTCATGTGCATGTATGCCCTAAATCCCCACGAAGAGAATGGAGAAGGATTGGCACATGGCCGTCCTCCTGGGGGGGACTTCTCGCTTTCCCTCTCTGTGCCTCTATTTCTCTCCAATGAACACAAGCACTCTATACCCAAAAAAAACGTTCTATGCCAGGTGTGTGGAAGGAATTAACTAACTCGGGTTTGTACTTTTGCACTTGAGAGACCTTGATCAAGCGTGTAAGGGTTACAGGGTTGAGTACAAAACCATGCGACTCTTGCTGGGACCTCTCATAAGCAGGTTATTTTAAATGAGCTTGCCTTTCTATGAAGAATAGGAGAACATTCAATTTGATTCCTTTTTCAAGTTTTGCAGTACCATAAATTCAAACAATTTAAAACCGCCATTTTCTCATTTCCTTCCCCAAATAAACTCTTCAGCAGTATTTTTAAACAAGGAAACTACAAATCTGTTTTTTTTTTTTTAATAAGGAAACATAATGGGGGAAAGGGAAAAAAACAACTTGACTTTGTGTGAACTTCCTGCTTCTCTGGATTAATCAGCCTCAAGTGTGCTGAACAGGCCTGTGCATGTGTTTATGACATCCAGCAAAGACTTGTTGACCAGAGTGAGGACTTTGTTAACAATGGTCTGCCTACTGGGATGTTTAATCTCAGTCAAAAGCAGGAAGTCAACCTTCCAATCTTTAGCTCGCTTGGACTTAAAGAGGCAGTGTTCATATTTGCAGTGGCCACACGGTTGGCATCCAGAGAGTAGAAATCACATTAGTAGTTGGAATCTACTCAGCCACTTACAGCTCTGATCAAGAAATGGAATGGTCCCCGGACCCTCCATAGTTTGGTTAACTTGTATGTAGTTGGTTTCTTGCTTCGCAGTGTTGACGCTGTAGGGGGTCTTAGTAGCACAGTGAGCCAGACTGAGCCTCTAAAGGACAGCCACAAAAGAAGGGAAGCACCTGGTTGGGGACACACAGCTGCTTAGTGACGGATCAGAGAGGGCACTGTGACCCAGGATGCCTGGCTTCACCTGTACCCCTTCACATACCCGACTACCTGGTTTCAGTCAAAGCTTGCTTTAATCTCACGTGTGGGCATATCCGAGGTGCCAGAACTTCTCTGAACCTGCCATTAGTCTCTGTGGTTATACCTCTGTGATGAATGAAACCCAAAGCTCTTGTGCATAATACCATGTTCTATCCTGTCTCAACCCAGATGCAGGACAAGTTCTCCAAAAGCGGCATTGCCTGTTTCTTAAAGGAAGATGACACTTCCTGGGATCCCAGTGAGGAAGACAGTATGGACAGCCCTTGCTGGCAAGTCAGATGGCAACTGCGTCAGCTCGTTAGAAAGGTAGGTGACCTCGCCAGTGGCAGAGAAGGAATATTTACACTCATCAAGTCTAGACTCCTCGTTTTGCAAGTAAGAGAACGTAGGCCCACAGCGTGGAAGTGACTTTTTCCAGATTCACAGGACTAGGAAAAGGTAGCACAGCCCAGATGGCAGGTCCTGGTAGAGCTCATTCCCCATCTCGAGCAGGCTTCTCTAGTCTAACATTTTCTCCCGTGTTACAGAAACTGAGGCACAGTGCTCAGGTCACATGGTAAACATATATATACATACACACACACACACATATATATATATATACACACACACACACACATTTGTATATATAAACTCAGAAGGAAAAGGAGGCCGAGTAATGATGCTTGATATTTTCCCCATTGTGGATCTCTAGTAAATTTACACGTATTTTTGTATGAATATAGAGAGGAAGAAAGGAAGAGGAAAGAGACTGAGAACTTGAAGGTGATGAACTCTCAGTTTACAGAGTCAGTAAATGACGAATTACAAAAAGACATCTCTTTACGGAAGTTTTTTGAACAGGGCATCTAGAAGCGTGATATTAGCTAAACAATTCTGTTTAGTGGCTGTGATTCATTCTGCTTTCAGCAACGTGACATAGTCACAGCAAGGCTTGCTCTGGCTGTGCCCTCCTTTGCAAGATGGCATTTAATTCTATTTGCCTTTTGCAAACCTGAAAAGGTCAGATGAGAACACTGATACAAACACCCTCTGCAAACTAGGAAGTGCCATCGACCATTGTGTACAGGAATATCAGGGAAATCCCCAGGGTGGGAAGATGTGTTTCAGACATGTTTGTAAGTCCATTGTCTAGTGGCCAGAATCTGTTTTTTCCATGGAAACAATGTTACATGGGTGGTTAGAGCTACAGTTTATAACTCTCAGAGTAGAGCCCAAACATCTGCCATGATGCTGTTTCTACGGGAAGTGAAATCAGACTTCCACCTGGGAGTCCTAGGCACACACCTGCCCATGGCTGCCCTGGCAGTGTGGCTGCAGCTGGGGTTCCCCAGGTGCAGAAGCTGGACGGAAGCCACTGTGACTCCACACTCCGAGTAGCAATGACTGTGCAGGTGTGGGGACCGGAAAAAGCCTGGGCTGGGGAAGGGTGCTGGGGAAGCTGAGAAATGGAACTCTGAAGGCCTGGGTTCAGGGAGAGGAACTCAGAGCTAGGACAGAAAGCCAGAGTCAGGGGAGCTCGATATTGGAGCCCAGGACAAAGGAGAGAAGAGAGTCGGGGCAGACTTCACAGCTGTCTCTGCTACTGTCCCTGTCCTTCCCATTCTCACAGCGGCCACCAGCGAGTGTGCAGAGGAGAGGGCACGGAGGACGGGGAGTGTGGGGAAGGGGCTGTCTTCCAGGCACATCAGCTGAACAAGCCATTTCCTGTAAACATCTACTCCCGTTTCACACATTCACTTAATCCTCACAACAGCTCTGTGAGGAGGGAATTACCATTCTCTTACATTTTAAAACATCGATTGAAAAATTAAAAACTCAGCTTGGTTAAGTGACTGCGGCCAGGTCTCACGGAGCTAGTAGTAGAGTTGAGACCAGGACACATAGTGACACTTCTCACACTTTTGTCCTGCTTCCCACACGGTGGGAACCTGACTTTTCTCTTCTTCCTACAGCTTCGCTTCCTTCCTTCCTTCCTTTCTGTCCAGGCTGGAGAGAAAGAGCTAGAACAAGGAAGAAAAAAACGAGAGCGACAGAAAGACAAATGAAAAAGAGCTGGCGAGAGCAAGACAGGAGTGAGGGAGATGGACAGGTGGCGTACGCGAGGGTCTCTTCTCACGTCCAGTTCCCAATATCTGGGCTTAGGTCTTGAGGCCCACGGAGGAGCAGAGTGTCTGGTCTGGGGAGGGAGCATGGAGGAGGCAAGTTTCTGGCAACAGCAATTGCTAGGTGTGATGGGAAAAGTAGGGCAGTGATGCTCAAAGCCCTCAGAGTGACAGCTGAGTGAAGGGGTTCAGAGGCCATGGAGGAACCAGGTCAGGGTCTGCCTGCTCAACAAAACGGACCAGTTTTGGCTCTATCTGGCTGCTTTCCCCCACTGACTACTACGTGTTTACTAGATGTTTAGAGAAGATATGGGACCATTGGTTAAAAAAATATACATGTTGAGAATACCTGAGCCACATACTCAGAAATGAGGGACTGTCAGTGCTCCCAAGTCATACCAGGATGGCTGCGTGTGTCTGCGGGCCTCACGGCCAGGGCAAGCATTCCGTAGGTCTCGGTGTCTGATAATCTAAGCCTCTGCTGCGCAGTGCACTGACACACTTGTGCATGCACACTCATGCACGCTGGGCCATGCACATCAGTCACGGGGCCTGGGGGACCCTCGGCTGGCCTTCCCTGGTGGGATCCTTCCTTCCATGCTGCTCCAGGGGAGCCCTGCACAGACCTCACCCAGAAACAACTTCCCTGACAGAAGACCGTCCCTTAGTCTCTGTAGGCTAGCTACCGCAGAACTGAGCCCAGCTCCCACCCTCCCCGTACAGATTCCTGGCCTCGGCCACCTAAAGCCTCCTAGACAGATCGCTCCTGTTGAAATTTCTCACGAGACAGCAGCAAGGGGAGCCGTAGGAGCCTAGGAGCCCTAGGCCTACTGCCGTCCGTTTAAGATTTCAGGGAAATTAACATGCTTTATTCAATACCATTTGCAGATGATTTTGAGAACCTATGAGGAAACGATTCCTACAGTTCAAGGTAGTATTTTTTTTACTTTGATTTTCTACCATCAATTTCACGACTGTGTGAAAAAGCTCTTTCTCCTCCTCTCTGCTCCCACTGCAGACTTGTGGCTCCGAGTGTCAGCACACTGCCGATTCCGTTTCCCTCTGCATCAGCAGCTGCAAAGCTCAGAACCAACCTGCGGCCCCGCTGTGGCCAGAGCTTGATTTCGGCTTGCTCTTATTTTCCCTGCATGTTCTCCATTCACCTCAATGTCTTCACTTACTTGTGTTATCAATGAACCATCCTAAACCCATTCTCAGGTGTAGCAGGAAATAAGGTCCCCCAAAGTTAAGTCATCTCTGCTTCTCCCCACTTCTGAGCATCCTCCCCAGTCTCCAGCCTTTCTCCCCTTCTCCATCATCCCTCTCCCAACGACCTTTCTACCCACTCTCGGTCCTCGTCCTGTGGTTTCCATGCCCCGGCCACCCTCCCCGTCAGGTCAGCGGCCTTCTAAGCACTGTCTCCAGGCCGACTTCTGCAGCCTCCCAGCTGGCTCTTCCATCCCTGCCTCCACTTCCTCCCTCAAGGCCCACCTAACTGTGGCCTCCTCATGGAAGACTTGCCTGGATGCCCTCTGAAGGAAGTTCTGTTATTGCTATCACACTTGCTCATTTTCCTTCATTTTTTATAGTATTTCTGTCCACGTGCTATCTGCTTTTCTACCAGATTAAAGCTCTGCAAAGATGGAAGGTCCTCAAGCCTAATCCACTCTGGTTCCTGCCCAGACTCTCACCTGTACCAACTTCACTGTGTGTGCACGCGCATGTGTGTACACACGTGTACATGGTTCCCCGCCAAGGCTTTCACCTGTACCACCTTCACTGTGTATGTGTGCATAAGTGTCTGTACATGTGTCTGTATAAGTATCTGTGTGTGCATGTGCATCTGTGTGTGTTCACATGCATGCACATGTAGGCGTAGTTCAGTAATTAGTGCATTCATAATGTACCACTTCTTTCTACCCAGAAAGCTCTTAAGTTTTTAAATCAATAAGCAAATAATAACATTAGTGAATTAAATTCACTACTCTCTTGCATTTGGCTCACTGTATACCCATTTTTCCCATACTCCTGGTCATGAGAGTATACCTATGCCAGAGACCAACAGTCCTGGGACAAACCAGCCCAGCAGGAAAGCAGGTTTTCAAGTGTGTGTGTGTGTGTGTGTAGGTAACCCTCTGACTTTCTACAGCTCGGTTCCTCATTCAAGTCTGAAACTGAGCACTGTCTTCCTACACCTCACCTATCCTTTGCCAACACAATAAACCTCCTTATCGCTTGACATCTCCCACTGTCCTTTATTAAGCATGAAGAGCAAGGGCCAGCCCCAGGCCTAGTGGTTAAGGTAGCCAGATACCGCATGGCCGGACCATGGTTTGAATCCTGGCCCCAGTGGCTTGACTAACATGTTGAGTACATGTATATGCTTGCCCCGAATCTGGACGGGAAGAGAAATGAAGGGATTGTGGCATGACCACCCCCCACTGTGGGGGTACTTTCTCCTTCTCTGTCTCTCCCTGGCAATTTGGGGGAAAACAACTGAAGGCCAAGATCTGATCCTGGGATCTAAGCATTCTTTCTGATTGTTTCCCCAAAGACAGAAGCAATAGTTAGACCACTGAACGCCTCACCTGGTGTGATGAGGCACAGTGGACCCACAGACTACAGAAGATGCATATGCTTCTTACATTGTTGGAATATTCTTTTTATTCATCCCAATAAGGTAGAGAAATCATGTACACTATGGTTAGCCGAAGGTGTGTCCATGACACCCAAGTATGTATATTCACAAGTACTTTTTTTGGTGGGGGGGAGAGGTTTTTTGCTATAGGGCACGTGTGCTCACCAGATAGAGAGACAGAGACAGAAAGCGAGAAATCACCCCCCGGGGGGATGGTCACACCACAATCCCTTCTCCTCCATTCTCCTCTCAGGATCTTGGGCACACACGCACACGCACCCGGCGTGAGTTTAAGCCACTGGGTCCGGGACGCGAACTGCGGTCGACTACATGGGAGTCCAGCGACATAGCCATTACGCTAACTGCTGGTTCCCAACAAGTATCTTTTTCAGGTGTTTGCCCTAGTCTATAGGAAATTCTCTCTCTAAATTTGCTTTCAAACCTAGACTTTCCATCTCCTTGCAATGACCTCAAACAAGGTATTTATCATTGGACTCACTGATGGACTATTTGAAAACGAAATGTTAGGGTTAGGGGCAGACATTATGAATTATTCAACAGTGGAGTCTAGAGGTAAATGGACAAACCAACCTTGAAGGCCAAGCACTCTGCAAGTAACACGTAACTGACCATGCGTCTCCCTGCCATGCTTGTCTCGATTTCCACTCGTCCTGAACTACTACTATCCCAGAGATGGAAGAGATTCTCAATGCCCATGCATCCCTCCTCTGTGGGGTTCTATCACTTTCAGTTCTGATTTGGATGAAGGCCTCTGTTCCTAGTCCTGATCAGTTACTACAGTGGCAACTTGCCTGCCAGCCTCCAGCTCCTTCACCTTTATCTATCAGACATTACTGTGATTCTACAACTGGACCCGCATGGGAAAGGTCCTATGTTCACGCGCCAGGACCACCTGACCCAGCACGTCCGTGTGCACACCCGGGCCTGAGATCTGGGCCAGCTGGGACTGGACAGAGCCCCTGCTGTGGTCGCCTCTCACTACCTTTCATTCTCAGGACAGCTGACACTCACATCCCTACCTTACCGTGAGATTTGGGGCCTCTGTTCTAGCTCCTCGGGGTGCCTTTCTCCCCTCCTCACACCTTGCTCTGTTCAGGCCTTTATTCTTTACCTGGAATAGCGTCTTGAACTTGGCTATTTCTCATTGTCTCCGTTTCCCTAGCAACATGCCCAGCACGGGCATGACAGGCACTCTGGCTTGTTACAGTGGATGAAAGACTCTAGCACCATCTTCTCCACAAAGCTTCCCCCGACCTCGGAGCTCTATGAAATAAGTCTTTCGCACATCTGAACACCCATCACCCCCTTTGCTCCTGTCTCTCGTAGGCAGATTTTTTTTCTGCCTTCTAACTTTTCTCATAAGTCTCTTAAAGACTTAGTGTTGTCAATGATTAATCCTTGTAGCTCTGTACAGTGCTTTGTCAGGCCTTGTCATGGCAATATTTAATAAAGGAGTTTATTTTTTAATAGGATTTCATTTTTATTAGTATTTTTTAATTTGACCAGAGTAAAACAGAAAGCAAACCATCAGGTCCAGGACTCAAACCATGGTCAGCCATGCAGGAGTACAGCACGTTATCCACCATGCCACCTGCGAGCCCCTAGAACTTATCTTCAATGTAAACACTTGAGAAGTCCAAGCTGCTTTTTTAAAGTACTTTGTTGAATTTGTAAATTTTTTCCAAGGTGCTCTAAAATACTTTAATGTGCATAAATGTTATTTAATATGGCAGATCAGAAATTTATGTTCATTTACTGGATAGCGTAACCAGCGTGTCAAAAGAATATTGCTCCTTTGGGGGACGGGAGGCTGCAGGAGGACTGTCGATGGGTCAGTGAGCATCTGTCTGCAGCTGCCACCATAGCTACTTCTTCAATGCAGCAGCTAGCAAAGAGGAAAAGATCATTGAAGGGAAAATTGGTCGCACTCTGATTACCTATTACATACAACTCAAAGTGGAAATTTGCCAGTTCCTGGTTCTTTGCACGCTTTAACCCACTCAGCAGGGTTAGTACCTGCCCACAGTTTTTTGGGGGGGGTATCAAGGGCAGAGGCCAGGGTTTTCCTCGTTAGTCTATCACTACTTGAGAGACTACGGCAAAAGGGTCATGAATTTGGGGCCAGTCTGAACGACATAAGGAAATCCTGTTTCAAAAACATAACAAAACAAGGGATCAGCAGTAAGCGTAATGGCTATGTCGCTGGACTCCCATGTAGATGACCACAGTTCGCGTCTTGGACCCGGTGGCTTAAAACTCACGCCGGGCGCATGTGTGTGTGTGCCCAAGATCCCGAGAGAAGAATGGAGGAGAAGGCATTGCGGCGTGGCCATCCCCCCTGGGGGGTGATTTCTCGCTTTCTGTCTCTCTGTCTCTGTGTGGCGAGCGAACGTGCCCTATAGTAAAAATCTCTCAAAAGCAAAACAAAACAAAACAAATCAAAACATAACAAAACAAAATAGACCACCCAACATTAGCAACAAAAATCAACACGTGACAGATCAATAAGATCAAAGAGTTCGTTTCAAATAGGCGTAAAGCTTGACTCAAAACATAACTTAAGATCTAGCACATGATTAGTCAGTCGCATGAGGCGCCATTAGTCTAGCTGGTCCCATAAAAAGGAAATGAAGAGCAAATAACGGGTAGGGCAGTCAGGAGCCTAGGGCTGCTACCCTGAAAATGGACAGGTATTTAGTTTAATTTCGATCAGCCAAGGCCTCTGATAAGGCATTTAAAAGAGACTGATGGTTAGCATTCAGGCCTGTTTCATCAGGGAAGAGAAAGAGTCATGACAGTGTGGCTGTGAATCTGACCAGATGCCTAGTACTTACATTAATTCTAGCTATTTTTTTTTTTTTTTTTTTTTGGTTTTTTTTTTTTTTTTTTTTGGAGACGTTTTTGCTATAGGATGCATACACTTGCCAGAAGGGCAGAGAGAGACAGACAGACAGAAAGAAATCACCCCCAGAGGGGATGGCCACGCTGCAATCCCTTCTCCTCCATTCTCTTCTCAGGATCTTGGGTATGCACACACACATGCCCAGCATGAGTTTAAGCCACCAGGTCCAGGACTTGAACAGCAGTCGACCACATGGGAGTCCAGCAACATAGCTATTACACCATCTGCTGGTCCCAAGTTTTCATTTTTCATGCACAAAGTGTAAAAAAAAAAAAAAAAAACTAAGTGAAAAACTCAGAAAACTCAGAACAGTGAAAAGTAATAGTAACACAAAGGCCCTGCAGCTGGTGTGACGAAGACTTGTGCTGTCCACTCGTGTTCATCAGCACGAGGAGAGAAGGGAGCTTAGGGCGGAAGTCCTGGCCAGTAGCGAAGGTTACCACCCGGAGTTAGCTGCAGCGGCACCAGTGGGATGGCTAAGGCCACTGAGGGCCTAGGTTTGGTTCCTGGCCTGACCTAGACAGGTGGGTGTGGTGGCATATGCCCGTGGCCCTAGCTGACTATGAGCTGGGGCAGAAAGGACTGAGATACGGCGAGAGCTTGTCAAAAATCTCTCCCCCTCCATCTCCCCAACCCCTTGATAAAAGGGACTAAAAGGTGCCCACTGAGTGGACCACCCCTGGGCTACCACCATGCAAAATGGAGTGTGGCAGTTTGGCACAGGCCCATGACGGACAAGGTACTGAAGGAAAAGGACTCTTGGCAAGTCCCAGTGGTACAGGAGCTTCCCGGTTTCCCTATGACTACAACTGATGATCCTTTCAAGGCTGAAGCAACAAGACCTTTGGTATATTAAAATCTTCTACCATCTCAACAAAAATACAGGCTAACCACAATGTGTGTGGGGGGGACTACTTCACTACAAACTTCCTCCTGTTAATGCTCTCTCTAATCTTTACCCAGGCTCCAAGAATGAAAAGGCTTTGGGTCAGAAAATAAACTCCTGGGAGTCATCCAGGAAAGGACATTCATTCTTGAACAATTTGCACTTGAGGAATGGAGAACTGGTCATCCATCAAACGGGCTTTTATTACATCTACTCCCAGACATACTTCCGGTTTCAGGAGCCTGAAGAAACGTTGGAAACACTCTCAAAGGAGGAGGCCAGAAAGAGGAACAAACAGATGGTACAATACATCTACAAATACACGAGCTACCCCGACCCCATACTGCTGATGAAGAGCGCCAGGAACAGCTGCTGGTCGAAGGACTCCGAATACGGACTCTACTCCATTTATCAAGGAGGGATATTTGAACTTAAGGAAAATGACAGAATTTTTGTCTCTGTAACCAATGAGCAGTTGGTAGACATGGACCAGGAAGCTAGTTTTTTCGGGGCCTTTTTAGTGGGCTAACCAATCTGCAAAGGCAAAGCAATACCCTGGGAGCGGCACCCTTCAGGACGCGCCACTGGGAAACGTGGACAAGTCTGACAGAGAAAGGCAACCTCAGCCGAGCAGTCTCACATGGAAAAATCCTGGGGAATTTTTTTAAAATCGCTGAAAGTGACTCACTTATTTCCAGAAGATGAACTTGCCAAAGGGCATTTCGGGGCACTCCCCAGTATCAACTTGCTGACAAGTCTGGAAGGTTCTCAGCTTCTGACATCTGCAACAGTGAGCATCCGTCTTTATCATCTACTCTGAAGATTCCAGACAACGTTCCCCCCACCCCCCGAGAGCAGACACATTCACCAGAGAGGGACAGAGAGAGAGGGACAAAGCATCTCCCCAATGGGGCATGGCCTTGATGCAATCCTTTCTTCGTTTCTCCAGCCAGACTGGATTTGGGGCACGCGTGAACATGCTCAGATTCAAACCAATTGGACTGCCATGTGGGGTCTGGTTTTCCTAACTCCCGGGCTACGGGGCCAGCCCAAGACCATTTTTGATAATACATAATTCAAATGGAAGTGAAAGTTTTTATGTATTTTTATATCAAAATGTTAAAATACAGTACTTTTTAAATAAAATGTTCTGTTAAAATATGTTTTCATGTCCAATTTGTTTTATAGTACCAAGACTACTTAGAGAAAAGACTTCCACATTCTGCATGCTGTCTTTTCTCGGACACTTCTTTAAGAAGATATTGCTGTTTACATATAATCAAATGTATTGGTCCTTTTCCTTGTGCTTAATGCTTTCATCGGAGGTTGAATTGTGATCTTGGAAGAGACATTGAAGTCTGACTCTCCAGAACCCCAGAATGTAGCATCACTTGGAAATGATTTTTGTAGATATAATTTAAAGTCACAGTGGGCCCTTAGTACAATGTGACAGGGTCTGTGTAAGAAGGAAATGGGGTGTATACACAGGGTCAGGACACACGAGAACACTGGGGACAGCAGGCAGGTGGAGCGATGCAGCTGTGACCGAGGAACATGGGCGCTGGCTGTCATCAGAAGCTGGGAGTGAATGAGGGAAGATTCTCAGAGCCTCGGGAGGCCTGGCCCCACCAACACCTCGGTCTCAGGCTTGTATCCTCCACCACTGTTCGAGAATAAGTCTCTGCCATTGAAAGCCACCTCGTTTGTGACGTTTTGCTCCATGAGCCCTAGGAACCAGATAGACCTTCCCCTACTTTGTTCAAGAAATCCTTTCCACCCATAATATACGGTTGATGGCTGTATGGCTTTGTCTGCAAGCTTTAAAGATTGCCTTCATAGTTTGAGAATGTCACTCAACTGCAGAACAGCTGACGTGCCACACGGGCTGGGTTTCTAGTTTCCCCTTTTCCCACGTTCAGAGCCAGTTGTCCAGCACTGCTTACTGCTTAGTCTACCCTTCTCCCCTCCGTTTAATGCCTCTTCTCTAGATGCCAGGATCCACAGGCCTGTTTTGGGCTCACTTCCCCCTTGCCCATGGGTCTAGTTGTCCATCCTCATTTCCATACCATCCTTTTAAAAAACAGTGCTGAAGTATTAAAATGTAGTTTTAGCCCTTTGAGTGTGCAGCATGGTGTAATGGAGTGTTGTGCAGACCTATTTGTCACCAGAATATTCGCATCGTTCCAAACTGACTCTATATACACTCAACAGCCTGAGCCAGCCGGCAGTGTGGCGCCAAGGAAGCCAGATCCCATGTGGCCAGGGGTGTGACTCAAGTCCCAGAGCCAACAGCTTGAGAGACGTGCCAGGTATGCTTGCTTTCTCTCTCTCCTCCGCCCCCCAACCTCAGCGAATGCATGCATTCCCCCGCAAATTAAACACTCCCATAGTCCCTCTACCCAGTCCCTAGTAAACAGCATTTTCCTTACTTTCTCTATGAACTTAACTATCTTTGCGCCTCATGAGTGGGAGGGTTTGTCCTTTAGTACTATTTCCCATTTCATTATATGTTAATGTCTTCAAAGTCCACCTACGTTGTAGTACGTGCCAGAATTCCCTTCCTTTTTAACATTGGATAGTATTTTTCACTTCATTTTATCCATGTGTTGGGCAATCACACTATTTGGTTTTAATTAGGATTACTTTATTAGAAATCTTGATATCAGGGACGCATGTTCCCTTTAACCCTGTGTTTCAAAATAATCTTGCTATCCTTAGCCCTTATTGTCCCCCTGAGATTCAGAGACTGCAGGGATGAGAGTCACCCCCCCCACACCATCTTTGAGAGATCAATAATTGTATGGAATTGAGAGATTTGGGAATAGTTTCCATATTTTAGACAATGGTACTTCCCCAAACATCACGAGCAACACCTGTTTATTTAGAACCTCTCCAATAACCCCCAGTGATACTGGACGTATCTATGATATTGCAAGATCCGTGTCTCTTAATTGCAGTTCAAAGGAATTGATGAAGGGGGTAGGTATAAATTTTAGGGGCAGTGTGATATAGCGGTTAAATGTATTGTCTCTGGATCAATAAGTTGAAATTCTGTGTTGACCATTTATAGGCCAGACTAGTAAACTTCTTGTACCTTGGTTTCTTATTTTCTAGAACACAGTAGTTTATCATAGGCTGAATGTGAAGGTCAGAGTTTATTCTCAAAGTACTTAACACAGTGCCTGGAAGGTAGTAGTGAAAAAAAGTTATTTCTGTATTTATTAGTACTAAACTGGGACAGTTTTTCCAGATTTTTTTTGGGGCGGAGAGGTTTTTCGCTATAGGGAGCGTGCACTCGCCAGACAGACAGAGACAGAAAGCGAGAAATCAAGCCCCAGGGGGGATGGTCACACCACAATCCCTTCTCCTCCATTCTCCTCTCGGGATCTTGGGCACGCACGCACATGCGCCCGGCGTGAGTTTGAAGCCACCGGGTCCGGGACATGAACCACGGTTGACTACATGGGAGTCCAGCGACATAGCCATTACGCTAACTGTTGGGAAGCAAGCAGGATTCTAGTAGACAATTTTATTAGGTTAAGGAAGTTACTTTCTATCCCTAGTTTCTTGAAAGTTTGAATATAAACAGGTTACTAGATACTTTGTTTGGATCTATTGAAGTATTTTTTGAATCCACTTATTAATGGGATGAATAGATTTTCTTTTTGTTTTTACTATAGAGTGTAATTGCTTTCCAGAGAGAGAAGGAAAGTGAGAAATTGCCTCTCAGGTGGTGGCTCTGCCACAGCATCCTTCCCTCCTTCCTCTCGGGAAGTTTTTTTTTTTTTTTTGGGGGGGGGGCGTTTGCTATAGGGGGC